GGGACAGGAAGGGGAATGCTGCCAGCCCACAAGGCACATTTTCTTTTGTGGGGTGGGTATTTAAAGAACCTGACTCTTCCCTCCCAGAAATCAGTTGATGGCAGCAAAGGGTCAAGAATTTTTTTCTGTATCTCTTTATAACCATCTAGCGGTCCCCCAGACCTTTGCAGCTTGAAAATCTCACATGCTATGTCTGGATAATCCAGAACTGCTTTGGATTCCAGATTTATGGAAACCATTATGGATACCACTCTTGTCAAAAAATATCAGCCAGCTATGACAGAACTTGCAAATTACAATGTTCTGTGCGTGAAACAAAGTACATTTTCTGTTCCATGAACACCTCTATTGTTCCCATATACTTTAAAAACTATAACTGAAGTCTGGCTTTATATTATTATGGGCTAGCTACTTTTCTATAGGTAAATCACAGGCTGCTAGAAGGAGTTCAGCATCATTAGAATATAATAATTCTAGACTAAAATAATGGATGTGATAGAGAAAAGGAGGAGCATATGTCTGTAAAAAATAAGCTTAGGAAATCAGTTGAAAAGAAAGCTTTACAATGCAATTCTATCCATATTCACTTGGATGTATGCCCTGCTGAAGTCAGTTTACATCTGACTGATCTGAAGAGACTGTAGGGACAGTCTTAAAGCTTTGGGTATTCCGTTCATCCACTTCCAGCATTACTGCATCACATTGACTATGTTATCATGCATCACAACTTGGTATCGTACCATATCAGCTAGTCCTGCAAGTTGGTGCTTTCACTTTCCAACTCAAACTTCCCTACTCAACCAGAAGGAAGTAAATGTTTGAATTTATCAGTGCTGCATACCTTGCCTTCAGTATTAAGCAAGTTGCAATTTTGAAGCTTATATCTATAGTGAAAGAATATAAATGGGACTTCTGAAAATGGGACTGATGGGTTTCTTACAAATGGCTACTCTAAGACTTTATAGTCAATTGCTCAGGACTCAATATGAAAATACAGTGTCTAAGCAACTTTTCCAACCTATCACAACAGCCTCCGTGGCTGTTATAATAATAATCACAATTTAAAAATATATTTGTATATGTATAAACATTGCTCTAGAACCATGGTATAAGGCTGCCATATTTTTCCTGGATTTTCACTTTGTAGAGGAAACTCATGGATTAATTTGAATTTAGTAAGAATTCATTTTAAAAATATTTTAAATGCTAATGATAGGCTTGCTGATACAGAGTAAGTGGTTTGAATGTGAAATATTACATCTGCCTACAAAATGCCCTTTGTTATGTTAATCAGGTCTGACTCTCCTTCCCAAAAGGTATGAATTTAAAATTAAATCCACTTTATAACTAGAACTCCTATACACTATGTTGTAAGCTTTAGAAATCTATTACTTATTAATGCTGTCATCAATGATACTGCATTTTGGAAGGATATATGTGTATTTAATAAGAAATACTCAACTGACTTTATTGTTATGGTTGTTTTTTAAAAACAACAACAGTAAACTAAGTCAATTTGATACTTAGAAAAATTAGCCTAAGAATATTTATCCAGGAAAAGTTAAAATGACATAGACATAGATTGTTCCTTTTGGACCTTCTTACAGACTCTAGTCAGGTTGTTTTATAAATGTATTTTAACTTTGTCTTAAATTTTATTTTCTATCTATTAAGATAGATTTATAAATACTCATTGAGCACTCATGGACACATTGCTTGTATTGGTCTAAGACTGTAATAAACTCACTACTGACAAATATCCAGGAAAAGTTAAAGTGGGAACAATTATTTCTGCATAAACAGTAAGGATGGACATCTTAAATAACAGAAGAACTCACAATTTTTTAAATTAAGTCCTTTTCTGCTAACATGGTATTCAACCATTAACTACTGCCAAAATCACATTAACTTTTAAGTTCATTTTAAGATCTCTCAGTCTCATTAGAAGCTTTAGAAAACTTCATATCGCAATCCATTTGCACCCAAAATGCTGACCTGAGGAGGGTTTTCATGGGGCTCTTCAGAACCATCTCGTCCTTGTGCACAAGCTCACAGGTTGCGTAGAGGATTAGCTGGCAGAGAAGGAGGGAGGCATGCACAAACTGCTCATTCTCCCTAGTGTGCTGCCTGTGTGGGGAAGAAGGGGTGTATTGCCTCTCAGCCCCTAGTGGATTATCCCCATTCCTTCACAAAATAAATGTAAACTTTAGCCCTGCAGAAATGATTTTATGTAGAGACAAGCATTTTATCGCAATATGGCAGATAGCAAAATTACATGCAACCTACTGTTGTCTCATACTAGAAAAAATCTTTAAAAATGTGTTTTACAGGGATTAAAGCATAATTTTCATAATTTTTTTTTCAGAAAACAGAAGTACATTGGATTAGTGCATGACTGGCAAAAAGGTTACGGTTAATTAGAACTATCCCCTTTACAATTTTGTTGCAGAGATACAATAAGTCATTTAAATATATATGGGATGGATATATTATTATAAATTCAGGTACACAATCAGTATCTTAAACTGGGATTATACTATGTATACGACAAAAGGCCTGTTTATACTTAAAATTTGGGATTGAGGGAAATCTGTACTTACTATCAACTGTTCTAAGAATTTTGTTCCATAATCAAACTTGCTTTGTATATACATTTTTGCTAATTAGTAGAAAGAGGTAGGAATAACCTTTAAACTAAAGAATCCAGCATGCTTTTAAATATAAATGAGATATATCCAAACCAACAGCAAAGCAGAAAAGACATTCAATGTCAGCAGTAACAAATCTAACATTTGTAAATAATACAGTATAGAGAATAAAGTTTAAAGAACATTTTATATAAGTGTGCTTTTTTACTACAAATTTTTTTTTTATTTTAAAAAAAAGTCTATTGTCCATAAATATGAAAGTGGGAGGTCAGCATCAGTCCTACTCTATTTCTCCCTTGCTGTGATACTGAAGAGTAAAAGGGGCTTCAGTTCATATTGCTTATGGCCGACTTATTGGCTGCTGCTTTGCTGTGTTTGTAGATTAGACAGTTTGAGATCTTTGTAGTTGAACTTTTAGCATAATGCGAATACCAGTCCCTTTCAAACACAGCTTTAAGTTGCTTGATTATGCTGGTTTTGTTCCCTGTGTCTGCTTGGTTGATGACAAGACCAGCTCCAGCATTCTGATTAAAATAGGTCCCAACCCAGTCAAAATTACCTATAAATAAATGAAACCACAATCAAAGGTATATAACGATTGGAAAACATTCCTCACGAACAACTCTTTTTCCTAATTAAACTTCCCTCCAGGAGAACACTCCTGCCCTTTTATTTTTAATATAAAGGCAAACTGAACATACTTTCTCCATGATAATCTCAGCTTCTTATGTGAATAGATTATGTCACTTATTTTTAAATCTAATATTTACTAACAAAGCAGTATTTTATATAAATTATTATATAAATTAGGCCTTCATTCCTCAAATTCTTTATACATAATCAGTTATAGAGCCAAAGCTATAAACATTATATAAACAATCAGACTGGAATTGGCTTATTCAACTCTTTACTTACCAATATAAGCAGCTCTATCAGTTACCACATATTTATTGCGATTTAGCTTGAGAAGAGAAGAGTTTTTTGGCTCCTTAATAAAGCATGCGCTTTCTGATTCAAGATCAAAGAACTTCTGTATTAAATGAGAAAAAACCCACTTATTGATAGCTAGTTTCAGCATTGCTGAAGAAACTTTAAATGTAAATATCTTGACCTATCGTATTTGGAAAAGGAGAAGTACAGCCAGAAATAAGAGATTGGGAGATTTTCAGTTACCTGTGGTTTATTATTAGGAGTTTTATTGATTGATTGATTGATTGATTGATATTTTTTTGTGGATTAGAGAAGCAAACAATTTCATAAACCACAGTGTGAAGACAAATTGTTTTCCTAAATGATACTGAAAACCTATCCCAGTTTGTCTGAGATTGGGCATAATTATAAAAATAAACTAGTTTAGAAAGAAGCAAAAAGAAGGAAACAAGATTCTAACAAGGCTTCTCATATTATCTCATATTATCAAGGAAATTATGAAACGTTCATAGAATCAAAGAATCAACACATATCACAACCACAACCATGCTTAACTAGCAAGAGGAAAACCAAATACAATCTGAGCAGAGAATAGGCAGTGTGAATGATATGGAAACTTGAAATAATGACCCTAGCTTTACATTATTATACTGAGTTAAGAGAAAAGGAGAATGTGTTTGCTGCGGATTTACATTGGAATTTATATGTTTGAGATCCAACATGGATGCTGAGGAAATTTACTAGGATATTGTTTTAGCTGTATAAACAAACAACATGAGGAATACTTACAACTTTTAAACTACAGTCAGAAACATCAGTGCAAATTGCTTTAAGAGATGAAATGAAGTTAAAAGTGAGGGGATTTGTTTCTTTGGAGAAACTTATAAGGAGTCGCACTTTAATATTGCGTAGAATCAGTGCTTCTCTGATCTTTCCATCCAAAAAGGGCCAGTACCTGTAGAAAAATATGTTATTTGATTTTTTTTAATGAAAAGCCAGGATTTGTGATGTAAAAACAACAACAACAAAAACACACACACAAAAACCCCCCAAACCCCCAAAAAACCCTAACCAAGCAATTCTATTGAGAAAAAAAAAAAATAGCCGTATGTAGGACCTTTGTCAGGGTCATACTGTATGATGAGACAGTGAAGTGGAAGTCCAAGAATAGATAGAAGTGGAGATAGGGAAGTGTTAACAATCCAGCTCGCTAAGTGTTGTGCTAGTTAAAGTAGAACTGTTTGTTGGAGATCCTTCTTTGATCAACCTGGTAATGAGATAAGGTATTTTTATCTTTCTTTCAGTCATAATATAGTATTAATCTAGGGGGTCAAGCCCAACAGCATCATGTCAAATTTATTTAGGACTTTTTAGAATTGGGGATTATGGTATGGTTTCTTTCCTTTTTTTGCACAGTTATGATAATATAAATTGAGGCCACAAGTAGAATTTCTTGTGGTTATACTGACTTTGGGGGGGGGGGTAGAGGGCAGGCTAGATTGCTTTTTCCTTAAGGCACATAAGAAAACAGTGATTCTGCCAGAAGGTCGCTTCTAAATGACAGCTTATATTAGGAAAATTAAGTTATATAGTCTCCTATTGAAAACATAATGTGTAGTAACCACTCTGAATAAATGGCATATTAAAAATAAACATGAAATTAGGAAATAAACTACATTTTTGATGGTACACTAGCCATTTCTTATCAAAATAGTGAAATATACTACCTGTAGAACTGCAAAGAAAGGAAATGTATTTGCAGTTTCTGTGATTGAATCTCAGAGGTCCTCAACAAAAACTTCTAGAGAGACCAGCATCTAATAAACAGTGGCTTGGTGTCTAAGTATCTAATATACAGAAGTGGCTAGGGTTTTGTATCAGGTTTATTTTGTACTGTCTGCTGTTCTAGATTCTAAGTTTTAACACCATGATGGCATCCAAGAGAATAGTTGGGCCACTGGACTTTTCCTATAGGAAATCTTTAAATCTGTCTTTGTAGGTTTGCTACTTTTCAGTTTTGCTGGGACTTACAATCCCTACAATTCCCAGCCAATAACTACCATGGGAATTCTAGAAACAGAAATCCAAGAACTATTAAACTGTATTATTTATTTGTTAGATTTATATCTTGTATTTCCTCCAGGAATTCCAAGGAATACATAAGGAGATGTCCTTCCATTCTATTCTCACAAAAAAACTGTGAGGTAGGTGACTGGCCCGAAGTTATCCAGTGAATTTGCCCAGATGAGGGTAGATTTGAAATGGGTTCTCCTCTGTCCTAGTTCTAACATTTTAATCACTATACAACATACTAACTCCTGAATGTGCTAAGCTGGGAAAGAGAGTTCTTACCAAATGCTGTTCTCAGAAAATATAATTTACTTATATTAATACAATAATACATAATGTAGATTGCTGGTATCTACTAACCTTGTCTCATTTATTATATTAATAATAGGCAGATAGTCCATAACAGCTATATATATAAACTGTTCAGCATTATCGACAACACTATAGATGGCATCAGTATCCAGAGTCCTGTCTTTAGGACACAGGAGCTTTGGAGAATTCTGGGAAGAGAAGGTTAGAAACATATACAGAAGATCTCATTTAGCATTTAAGTTTTCTTCGTACATAATTATAAAACCATTGTACTTATACCTGTAACAGGATGCCCTGTATAAGTTTTAATATTTTGATAGTGTTTATCATGATGTCTATTAATGTATTTTATGCTACTTATATGCTACTGTCAAAGTATTTCTATTCTGGGAGTTTCAGTTCTATTCTGAAAAGCAGAATATAATTTTATGTCTGATTCTCTAATGCAGTATTTGGTGAATTCAGAATTATTCTGCATTAGAGAATGCGAAAGTTATTAAAATCATATAACTGTAAAATCCATATCAGTTCTCATGGAGTCTTGAACATATTTAAAAGTATATGTTTTCAACTACAAAGTTCATAATCTTCCTAGATGGATTGAGGAACCTCCAGAGCAAGTTTTGGATGTACAAAGTGAGGGGCTAGAGTAAAAAGAGTGAAGAGAATTCCATTTGTATCACCAGAAGTGTGCTTGTGTTATTTATTTCTAACTCATCAAATCAAAAGATATTAGGCAGCTATATTAGAGTAAATTAAAAATAAATAAAAACACTTTTAAAAAGTTCAAAGGACTTTGGCAACAGTTAAAATTCGAAAAGGCCAGCAGAAACATCAGCCTGTCAATGGTGAAATAGGTGCAATGAAAACAATGTGATCTTTGACTTTTCCTGTAAGCAGGGAGTGAGAGATGCATCTGCACCTCCTTAGAATCACATCCTCTCCTTTCATATTATTTTTATTCCTTATTGCTGCCAGAATTTTTCTGAGCAAAAGGAAGTCACTGAAGGGTAGAATCTGAGGACATCCCATATCATATGTTCACAAACCTCCTTCTCACACAAAAAGGTGCAAGTCTTCACTATAGGAATAAGTTGCTTGCTGCTAACAGTGTTTTCACCCTCATGGCATTTATCATGGTAGTGGGGTGTGCAAATATTGAGTATGTTAGCGATATAATTTTAGGGGGGAGCAACTCAGGTAACAGCTTAAACTTATCTAAAAAGAAGAACAAAAATACTCACTGAGACAAAGACTTCTGACTTGGTTTCATTCAACTTAAGAGGCAGTTTATTTTTAGTGCCATACACTGCATACAGTCTTTTAGACCAAATGGGTGGAACTTTGTTCTTGGATTTCAAGGAGCTGTACAAAGCAAATATCCTTTGTAAATCTAAAACCAGGCAACTGCAGTTGTACACAATGATGCCAAGCTCCTTCATCTGTGAAATCAAAGTATGCATTATTAGGAATACATTGTCTATCATAAGGATTTCAAGTGACAGGTTGATGCAATTTTTAGAAGTTCTTTTGCTGCAAGTTGATAAATGCAAATCTGTTACTTATGTTGAAATATACAGTAGACATGCATACGTTGAGCATCTCAGTCTAAACTAGAATCCTGTTGTTTTGTCTTCCTTTGCATTAATTCGTTGGTCCTGGAAATAGTCATAAAACAATGAAAAGAATACAACAGTAAGAGGTTTTTCATAATATAGCAAATAGCTTGTAAGCAGTAAATTCTGTACTGAGAAGGATAGAGATTCAGAACATATCTGTTCTACATTTGAATTTAAAGCGTTGTCTAATAAAAATACAGTGAATATATTTTTATTAAATGATTGCATACTACTTTTTCATCTATGTCATAAGAATCACAATTCCTTAAAAATTATTCATTTACAAAATTCTGCTTGGTTCACACCTGCAGGTCTACATCGTACACTGTGTTTCTAGCATCACCTTCATTTATTTCTCTATCCAAATGCGATGCCCTGCACGTATGTTCCATTAACTTCCACAAGTCTCAGCTAACATGTCAAGCCCATGAAGAAGACTGCTGAAGTGCCAGAGGAAAAGCACTGCAAGATAGTCCTGAAGCCTGGATTCTGCTTCAGGCAGGACGAAATGATTGGAAAGAACTAAGCAAAACATGACTACATCATCTCAGGGGTACTCTGAAGCTGTAGGTTTGAAGCTACTTTGAAGTTCTAAACTCCTGAAGAAATTATTTGTTTTATATTAAACATATATGCAGAAATGACTCTTCTATTGTGAGTCATTTTTGCATATATTCTATATGCAACATATTTTATTCAATCCTATCCTTTCAGAAGCTGTATATATTAATCTGGCTAATTTTAATTCACACATTGAATTATTTCTCCAAATTATGAAAAAATATTAGTTAAATTTCATAACATATTTTAATGGTGCTTTCCAAAGCACTTGTCACATTTTATTTATTTATTTATTAAATTTGCATGCTGCCCATCTCCCCCAGAGATGCAGGCTCCTTCTAAACATGGATTTATCCTTCTTTTGAAACAGCAGCACTAAATCTGTTATTTCAAAATCAAAATATTTTTACTCTTCAGCTATAGGAAACAATAGGAATTGCCTCTTGTTCCTTTTGGTAACAGGGCCACAAAAGTATGTGGGTAGCAAACAGTGCAAGCAACAGAAGATTTCCACAGCCTTGCTAAATAATAGAAGCCAGCAATAAAATCAATAGTAATGGATTTCAACAAAGTCCACAGATAAAAGAAGAGAAATAAAAATACACTGGTTTAAATTTTCTTCCTAATCCATGTGCACAGTGCTCACTTTCTGAACATTTTAAAAGGCCAAACTCACTTTTGGATTTGACAATTTGTCTGAAAAATAAAGTAGAACACACAAAGTACACACGGATTCAAAACATTTACATTTCAACCTATGAACTCCACTTTCCCACAGCAAAGGATTTAAAAACAGTAAAGTTATTCTCCAGATCTGTATCAAAGTCTTTCTGCTACCCAAAATGAGGACTACTGCCTCCTCCCCTCAACTAGCTCCAGCCAATGATTGCTAATTGACTGGACAATGACTCTCCAGATCTCCATGTCTGAATGATGTTATTTAAAACAAAAACAAGCCAAAGTCAGGGAGATCTAAAACAACATGAAATGTCTTTTTTCAAGCTTTGGACACAACTGAGAAACCTAGGTATTTTGTGCTGAATTCAGAACAGTCACAACAGGTCTTCTGAATGTCTTGAACTTGGACTCTTTGCACATCTCTACTGCCCTATATGTGAAACCAGCCCTTTGCTCACATTGCCCTGGAAGTGCATATGGTGGTAGAACTGAAGTATTCCACAACTATGTGGGAAAAAAACCCCTTGTAATATCCAAAAACCTATTCGGAGGGACAGAAATATTGGCATGGCTTATTAGCAAGTCTCTATTTATAATGGCTGGTGTGGGTCTTCCGGGCTGTGTGGCCGTGGTCTTGAAGTTTTGTTT